CAATCGTAGGGCGCATTTTCGAGTTACGCCCTTTTAAAGGCGTAACTGCATAAATCTCACTAAAAACAGTGAAATGCCATCACATATGCTTATTTTGCATGCAACATGTTATGAAATGTCGATTGCAGAGTGTTTATATATTAATTGCATGGTTATAATTTGTAACGGTTGCTAATTTTTGGAATTAAAAAGGGTTTTGTACGTTAATTTAAGGTTAAGTTTTATTTAAATTAACTGTAAACTAATAAACCTAAATTAACTATAAACTAATAAACCTAAATATAATGAATGAATCTCAAAGTGGTTTAACACAAATAACCACTATTGTAGTCAACGACAGCACGCAGAAGTTGAGATTTGTATATCTTTGATGTTTTCGTGGTCTTGTATCTTTCCCAAGTCAATAAAAAGTCGCTGTGAACCGATTCGGACGCCTGCTCGTTGTGCCAACCCAAACCTTGTCCAGTTGCATTACAAAACTCTTTCACGTGAAACTTATATGGTTATATGGTATTTGGACGATTTTGGTAGATGCAACATTTCCCAGTATTCGACAAACTTATTAATATCTTCTTCAAATCCGGGTACAAGTTCGAATGAGAAGCATTTCTTGTACGCATTTTGAAAGTGTTTCAGGACCTATAAAAAGTAACAGTCATTAGTTTTATACCTGCTGATCGAAAAACAACTGTACCTTACATCAACATAGTTTAGCAAATCTTCGTTTTCTCGGAGAACATCGACAGCATCAAGGAGACTGTGACATGCTCGTCCTGTAAAACCCTATGTTCGCTGTTGATGTCGTACATGAGCCTTTTCGATCCATAAATCTGCCCAGTCTGGATTTTGTTTCTCCACTGCTTGAAAAACCCAAGTGTCACGTGAAGTGGAGGCGGAGGCCATACCAGCGGTTCACGTTAGTTTTCATGATAGGCATTCATATTCAATCGAATCCGTTATGAGTGAAAGAAGTTAAACTTGAACCACATTAGGTTGTAGCACAGATAAACAGACATAACTCTCACAATCACATTCTTCGCAAGTAAGATTTCAGTTTGGAATGTGCTCGCATTTGTCATGGTGGCGCCACTGAATCGTCAAGCAAGTCAGCACATTTTGAACTTATCAGTAGTGCCAGTTCGTTTTCAGGTCAATTTAGTAGATGTCAGCTCTTGAAAAAGGAGGCAAAGCAACAATACAGAAATAAAAGTTATTGTTGGCGATGATGATGGTCCCAATGCTTACCCCTACAAAGATTTGAGCTGGACGATTTATCTTCAAGATAATTAAGTATAACATTTAACCCTCGGTTAAACCAGATTAGCCAACAAAAACGTTACAGGCTACAGTTACAGATATGAATTTCCTCAACACTTTTCAATTGCTTCACATCGATTTAAATGTGATAAAGCTTCGGCGTTCACCTCTTTGTTCACTCCTTTGTCCTCCTCAAATATTCACAAGCGTTCCCAGCGATCTAAAGTTCATGAATAATCAACAAAACATTATATTACACTAGCAACCCCGCAATCTGATGCTATCGTAATTTTGAGCAACGTCAGAAATACATTGTATATTACATTCTAAATGCTGCGTCGTTCCGCTTGTAGTGTAATATTACGCTATACAATTACACAGATTTTGACAACAAATCATTCTAATGAGTGTAATATTGTATCCACTTTTACCATCAATGAATAACATTGATTGATACATATTATATGTCTATGCTGTGTACATATTGAAGTGATGGGTGGTGCTAGAAAGGTGATACATTATCACGATAAAAGCTAGTTTCCAACAAAATTAAAGACACGCAAAACAAACAAAACGAATCCCTAAAAATAAACTGAGCTTCTGTCAAACGGATCCGTATTTCTGATAAATTCAATCAATAGGGTTTTTGATCTAATTTCCGTCCTACTAAGCACAACCCCCGCTTTACCTCTCTTTTTTGAACGGGTTTGAACAAAAAATGGAATATTTCTGTCAAAGATGACTTATAAATTTATTCACCTTTCCATTCGTACCGTTGGATTTGATAAAGAGTCACAAATTGTTGAGATATTGATCAAAATATAATAGTGCTTCTTGATTCTAAATTCGTTCTAACGCATTGAAACGCCATTAGATTTTCTTCGTCCTACGGATAAACGGAGAAAAAGGGGCGCTTCTTTTGTTTTGAGAACAATGAGCGTAAATATTAATACAATGCGCTATAATAGGATTAATGTTGTAGCTAATGAATTAACGCATCGGTATAAACCTATTGTTTATTTATGCACGGTAAAATCATTGATATTATTGATCATTTCTGATCGATAGAACGGAAATGGGCGATTACGACGAAGTAGCGCTCTACCCTACTGAATATTTCGTAGAACCAGCATCACTGACTTGCAGTTGTTTAGTTTTTATTCAACACAGCTGACGCGTTGATAGACCGAGGGAAAAGCAACTAGTGAATTTTTTTTTAAATTGGCTCACTACTTGACTAGCCTATTGGTCCCAAGCAAATCGATTAACGTATCCCATTTTAGTATAAATTCCAGTACTACACTATGTTTGTTTTGATTCGCTATGAAAGTTTGACAGATAAAATGAGGGATTAATGGATTTTCCTATGTTTCGAGGGGTGAATCGATTAGCTTGAGACCGAAGATAGTACCAGAGCTGAGCCAAAAAGTTTAGCTCGTTTCTTCGTGACCTTCTGGTCTTAGAGTTACCTCTATGGTGTTAGTGTGCACGCTTGACAATATTTTTTGAAGAATTTTCTTCTAAGAGTTATGTTTGTTTGTCCGTGGTAGTAGTTTCACGCGTCCGATTCCGAATCCACAGCCCTGGTTGGTCGTTTTTTTTTTTTTTGTGCGGTACATATCCCCCGCGTAAAAACCGACTGCAGCGAATATGGTTGATAAAAGTAAAACATTACATCTGTCAACGGAAATATAAACAAGCAAAGTGAAACAAAAAATCAAACACAATACAGACAATATGTTAACGAGTTAACGACACCGTAAACAGGAAGACCGACAACATTCTCTTTCCAGAATCAGCCACTTGTCTGGCTGCAGTCTGTACTGAACAAGGACCAGAAACCAGAGTACGCATATCAAACAACAACAAACCACAAAGAGCTCACACATGGCGCTCCTCGTTTCACTATGCCTGAAGGGAGTAAAAGTGTTTTAACGAGAGCAAGCCAAAACAAACTTCCCAAAACTAGTTTGGGCTGGGTTTTCGGCAAAATAACAAGAACAAGACCAGTAACAGCAGTTCAATATCACCCAGTATTATTTTGAAAGTAGTAGGTAACCGAACCTGAAGCAAATACACAGTTCAGTGACACATTGAAATCAGCAAAACATGTTCAAGATAAAAACGAAAATCGCTTCAGCAACCATTAGTCAAGTTCGGTTCCAGCTTATGATTTGTGAAGGTACTGCATCAATTATTTCACATCGGCTAACCATTCAAAAATCAACCCCCTGGAAGTGATCGCTTAGCGAAATGTGCAACAACAGCGCCAAATGATTAATGGTCGAACGCTAATTGTTCCCTTTCAGCACTCAACAGTCTATTGCGACCGGAGTTCTGATGGTTTGACCGTGATCACTTCCTTGCCCAAAATTGAATCCATCCGCTACTACAGCAGAAATGACTGGTGGCCACCATTTACTGTCTACCTGCAGTGCGAACATAATGCACCACCAACAGCATTTTACACTCAAATCAGAACCGAATTCTCAAATGGCTCCATTAATACTGGCGTTTCTCAATTAATCACTGTGAAAGTATTGATAAAATCACAAGTTCTGTGTAGAGCTAGATGTCTATCTCCCGTCCTTGAATCTAATATAAATCACAAAATAACCTTTTATTAAATCGACTGACGCACGCAGGATGCAGCACCAGTGCACCACCACCACCACAGCGACGAGCTGACATAATCGTTTCAACCTTGCCCCACGTCATGAATCGTCGACGACTGGAAAAGAAACGTCCGAAAAACATACACACCCCCTCGCAAAGGAGCTAAGAATCATGCTTCCTCGCAAAAAAAAAGTTTCTTCATAGCACGCACTCACCATTAGCTTCATCACACGCGTGGTTCACTACTCTGAAATACATATAGGGTAATTGTACCAGTTTTTGGTCCTCTAGTTGGCCCTATCCTAAATATTCCATATTTCCGATACAAAGTTAGACCATATATTTTGCCACCTATCTTCGAAAATAAAACAGTGAAAATATATTTCAAATTTAGGGCCGAAAACTGGAGCACTAGTGCCAGCACTGGCATACTTACCCTAGCTGATATACGACTAGCGAAAAAAACAGGCGCTATCACGTCATTAACATCATCAAATTCAATAAAAACGGCAACCGACACGACACAACGCGGTCTCGTGCCTGGCAGCGAGCAATTTTCGTGATGGACACCGCAAGAATCCACCGGAGAAGAAGCAACCTACAAGGTAAGGTAGGTAAATCTTCGCGTTTTACTTCGTTCGACTCCGTTCAATTATCGGCTCTCTAATTGCACGTGGAAGTGACTCGCTGACCCATTAGTGGTAGCGGTGAGTGTTAGTAGCCTTGGGAAAGGAGTTGTGTGGAAAACCTAAAATATTTAATGAGCAATGGTTTCATACCTTCCATCGGCCCGGATAGCTCAGTCGGTAGAGCGTTGGACTTTTAATCCAACGGTCTAGGGTTCAAGTCCCTATTCGGGCGGAGGTATTTTTTTATTGTGTTGTAATGCTGACAATTGCTTGACGGTTTAAAATGGAGACGGTGGTAGTTCACTCCCTTCATAATGTGAACAAAGAGTACCACGCGTCTCCTCGTAGTGTTCAAGGAAATTTTTAAGGGTTCAGTATGTAGTTTATAAATGGATCATTGAAGATGCTGAGGTTTTGACAGCACCGTACTGTGGCTACCACAGTATTTTACATTGGTTCGCCCGTATACAGTAGCGCCAAATGAAAACTGTGGTGGGTTCAAAACTCAGCCATCTAAAATGATCCATTTAGGACGTACGAGGGCCGATCCTGGTGGCACAAGGATCCTTAAACCGCAATACCAGTTTCATAAAAATCAGTTTATGATTTGCTGTCTCCCTATGGCGGACGGTATCATATGTTAAGCTGATAAGAACAGATACTACACTTTGATCTTAGCTTTTAGGCCGAGAAGCGAGAGTGGTCAGTGGAAGGCGGCTTCGATTAGGGTTCGGACGAACGTGTTTTTATACGATGAGAAAGAAGCTAATAAATAACAGTGCCTGGAAACGACGATAGACTCCGTGTGTATGTGTATTGTATCTGTGCCAGCTGTGCTCATTACACACATCAGGCAGGTAAAACGATTACGACAAGCTACCGAACCAAGCGCAAAGCTATCTGTATAGGGAAGAGAATGGAAAGAATAGGGGTAAATATTTCTGATTAGAAGATCAAATGACAACTAGGGTGAATGTACCAGTGAAGACTATACGTTCATATTATGGAGTATATACCTTTAATGGCAAATGCAAGGGGCAAGAAAACTATGATATATTTGAAATTAACATCAAAATTAATGCATGTAAAAGATGTAACATTTTTTTGCTGAACAGTCTTTGTTCTATGGACACTTTTGTGAGTCTAATTCAAGAAAATGAAAATATCAAAAAAATATTTCGATAAATTCAGCCAAGGGGGGTAAATGAGAATTTTTCATCCCAGCCATAACGAATAGCCATGACCAGGATCAAATCTGTGTATTTTGTGTAAAAAATCTATCCTCTAAATTTGTCGAACCTCTTAACGGAATCCCTTTATGAAGGGCGTTGAATGGGTTGGTTTATTTCCTTTATATTCCGTTATTATTGCTTATCTTTTGAATCAAAAGATAAGCAATTATAACAGAATTTAAAGGACATAAACCAACCCACTCAAAACTCTTCATAAAAATCTATATTTAAAAAATAAATCAGCTAAACTAAATTAAAAAATATGTTTGTGAAGGAAATGGAAGTTAACGTAAATAAATCTTCATTCAAATTGTTTTCAATAATCAAACGTCATGATTACCTGGGTTTTGTCAAGTATGGTATATATTGATCCGTAACGGAAAAATGTGTTCGGTGATGTTCAAGGGCGCAGCCATGTTTCAGGCTGTAATTTTCATTTTTTTTAAGTTGAAGGATTAGGCAGATGCTAACAGGCTGATCGCCATTTAGCCGAGTGCTATAATGTCGAATGTTATTAGGCTGAATGTGGTTAGGCCGAAGGGATCACTAGGTCAAATGAGTCATTTAACTGAAATCGTAATTTCTGTCAAACGGCATAAGTTTGAAACATACTAATGCCGTTTGACAGAATTACAATTTCGGTTAAATGACTCATTAGATTTGAATGACCAACTCCAGTTAGAAATTTCCCGGTTTACTTCTCCGTTTTATGCTTAAACCCGAATGTAATTGTGCCGAAAGGATCACTAGGTTAAATAATCCCCTACAAATACAGCAAAATAAGTTTATGTTTTAACTACCTTGAAAATATGCATAGATCTCTTTACAAGATTCATTTGAAATGTTTCCATAACCTTTTTTTAACATAATTTGCTTTCCTATAAATTTCGATTCTGAATTCCTCTAAAATTTATTAGAAAATCCATCGTACATATGTTCTTAAATTATATACAGCTCACTCCTAACAAATGTAATTCATTCTAAGATTTGAATCGAATTTATTTAAAATTCGCTTGCATCCTCCATAGAATTTTCAAGTAATGCACCGCAGAAAGATCTAGAAATCCTGCTCAGAATTATCTATATTCTTCTCGAAATACATCGAAAACATCGAATCCCTTAAAAACGTCTCAGAATTTTTTTGAAATTGAAACCTCAAAACATGAATCCTTTGGTGTTCTTTTCAGAATTTTATTGTAATTCTCTTCCGAATTCACTTGAAATTATTTTTAAAATTATCTTGACATTTGCCCTACAATATTTCTTCGGAATTTCCTAGGAATTATAATCAGATCTCTCTAGTGATCAGTGCTTTCTTAGCTATCAACACAAGCAGCTGTGTGTGTGTGTGTGTTTTCGGTGCGGGTCACGCGATAGCCTGTTATTCGATAGCAACTATTGTTGCGGTGCTTGTTCAGCATCGTAGCTAGCTGTTCAAGACTCTCAATGGAGGAGATTGCGACCTTTGTAAAAGCGCTGGTCGTGGATCCCACTCAGAGGAAAAATCTATGTTCTTCAAATCCAAATCAGAAGAATCGATGCTTCATTGCTGAACAACCGTGAGCAATCAATTTTCCAATATGTCCATGGAAAATTTGTCGAGGTACGCATGTCGCCTGCAGGGTGCACCGTTCAGTACGTAAGAGTTTACGACCTATCACCAGATGTTCCGGATAATGACCTATCGTTGGTGCTGGGTAAATACGCTGATGAGAAGCGTGGCAGCTGTCTGACCTTGATATGCTGACAGGAATACACGGAATTTACATGACGTAAAACAGAAGATTCACAATTCGCTGCATTTCCGCAATAGAAAGGAACAAAACCGTGTGTTACCTTTATAAGATGGAGGGGCATCGGAAATAACAGGAAGAGGAAAACAAACAACGGAACGAAGAAGAAACCAATGCCAGTACGTACGCTTGACAATGGACAATGGACAACGATAAAGGCACAGAGGAAGCGGTTGAAGTGCTGGAAGAAGAGATAGTGGAGATGGATGTGACGTCGTGGGATGCCGACAAGAACAATGGAGAGGAAGCAAGTGCTGCTGAAGAACAGCAGCCGCCTGTTTTCAAGCATCGAAACGCGTATTACTACTACAAATTCGGGATAGTGGACTATACTGAGAAGAAGCGGATAAAAGACGAAGAGGAGTCCAAGCGGCGGGCGCTGCTTGAAGAAAAACAAATGGAAGTAGTAAGAGAGTTGAGGGCACGGCTGATAGCGGAAGCTAAGCTCAAGTCGCCTCCCAGGAATTGTAACAAGAACTCATAAACATTGTTCCTCATTTTGTATTGCTATATAGAAATAGTGGTTTTCGGCTCGGTGGAGCCCTCTGGAAATTTAAGCCTAAGATACAAAATAATTGGAAAAAAATCTCTGAAGAAATTCTTCGCAGAACTAATTTGGTATATTCATACGAAATGCACCAAGAATTCATTTCACAACCGTCATGGAATTTTCTTCAGATCAACCAAAGAGTTCAATTTTGAATTTTCCTTAAATCACCTGGAAGTGGGAGTTCTAGTCAAATCTTTTATGGAGTTCATTCCAAAACTCTCTTGGATTATTTCTCTGAAATACTTTGGTGTTATAGGGGAAATGTAGGTTATGTCGGCCTACATGTCCCTAATTTGGGCCCATCGCTAAAGATCTGCTACTTATGAATTTTATCTAGATGAACGTGTTATTGGGATGGCACTTATGGATATTTTTGGTTGCTATTGAAAATTTAGTTGATTGCTGAATTTATGTATAGCATAGCATAGCATAGCATATGCGATTGTACAAATCGTGGGTGGCTATATAATGGTCAACTAATACGTTTTGCAGAAAATATCGAGTGTTGACGCAGAAAATATCACTTGGGATTAGTGATTTTCCCCACACGAAAATAAAATCTACAATACAAGCATCGCATTATACCCCTGGCCACATCCTTACAATCACAGGGGAAGGGAGGGAAAGTTAATCCAACATCTACTTAAGAAGGTGCAGGGAACCCATACTACCTTCATAGGTGTCACAGGAAGGAAAGAGTTGTGTTAGTGGGAGGGTGAATGATTTGGCAACTCTATTCGTTAATATAGAGCATTTGATAATTTGATAAATCAGTGACAAAAAATAAAATATAAATAGATAAAATGGAAAGATCTCACCCGACCGGCCTAGAGACTTTGCAGCGTCATGTTTTCAGAAATGCTTTATTTAATTTTTCTTGAACCACCGCAATCACTGATAACGCTCTTCTAGCTCGTACGTACAAAAGAACGCACTCCACGCATAATCAAGGTCATGTATTTTCGCACTGTCTTCTTTAACACCACACAAAGAAGTTGCTCATCGCAGCAACAGAAAAATATATCAGTGTGATAGAGGTTGTACGAGGCAACAAAGAAAAACGCAAGACCACACAAAGCACCATTGCATAAGCAACAAGAGATCAAAAAATCACGCACGGTATTCAAAACTTTTAAATGCGATCACCAGTTCACCTCCAGTCACTCGAGAACAAAACGCATGCGAAAAGGTTTTCAGCAGCAAAAAAAAAAGCACAGAAGGAACAAAACACATCCGTTTCGGTCGCTGGTTCAATCAGCCGTTGATTGCTGAATTTATGTATGGGCCCAAATTAGGGACACTTAGGCCGACATTACCTGCATTTCCCCTACCTAGAATTTATTCTAAAATCTCTTCACAGCTCGGGGCATCCAAATTATCTTAATACTTCTTCAAAGTAACGGTATCCTGAAAATCTAGTCTAATCAAAGAGGGTCTTGAAGTATTTTCAAGGTCCATAATATATTTTTATGCTCGACAGAGGATGAAGTTTATTTATTTCGTTTTGGCTATCCACGGATTTTTCACAGTGATCACGGGTTTCCGACTTTATCCTGGATTTCCCGATTCCCCGGTTCACTGGTCAGCCTAGAATTGTAAGCAAATTCAGGTTTTTTATCCTCGACGTCAGTATATTTCTAAATTTTCGGACATGTCTTGAATACCTTATTACGTTGTTTTTCCTTTTAATTCCACTACTATTATCTATTTAATTATTTACTTTAAAAAAAACTGTAACAAATACGTATTTCGTTTACTACTTGCAAACTTCAGTTTCTAATCATAGATAAAGCATTACTTCCATTCCTTATAAAAGTGTAGTGTTGTGTGTTGTGTTTTCAGGTATGGTGTTTATCGTTGGGGATGTTTGTTAAGTAGGTATTAACATAGTACAGGTACACGTTTATTGAGGCGTAATTTGTCGTTTGGACTGATTGTCTCCGCGGTACAGGAATATCAATTTCCTTGGTCCTGATTTAGTAAATTTGCTAATCTTTGTTTGTGAATTCCTAAACTCTCAGCTACGTCAAGTTTCCTACGTCCTTTGCCAGTTAATGTGTGTTAGTAAATACTTGTTCAGCCACTTTGGATTTGAAATGGTAATGAATACCTTTTTCCGTGTC